GACATTCCTGACACTCCTCCTGAAGCAGACTCCTCATTAATGTTTGGCTAGAAAACAAGTTTTGAGTTCCTCAAAAAATGCTCACAGCTTTGGCTTTTTTAGTCTGGTTTTCTGTAAATGTGAGGCATATGAAATCACCATTCTCAAATAGCTTCTAAACCTGCTCTCTGGTTTCAGCCAGTTCTAACAGGGGCAAAAGTCTCTGTGATTAAATATTTATGAGGAGAAAGTTAAACACGAGCCCACTGCTTGCTGAACACCTGAGACTCTCCCTAGGAGAGGGCCTTTCTAAATCCTAAGAGCAGGAAAAGCTTCAGTTGAGTTTGCACCTTTTTACATACCAGCGTGCTTACAGGGGAGAAACCTGGATTTGGGGCAATGCCAAGAATGCCAGGCATTAAGCACAGAGCAATCAGCTAAAGAAACTGGCTGTGAAACACCTTAATTCTAGTGCTTGCAGAAATGCTTCTTGTCCATTCAGATGTGAAAAAAGTAAGACCTCACAAGAGGTTTTGCTCTGGAGTAACACCAGATCCCGTGCTTGAAACACTCAGATGGGGGCACAGGTTCAAGTTCATGTGCACTGTCTGCTCCTCACCACGGACTGAGATGTCCCAGGTGCACGGTCCCCCCACCACCCCATCTAGGAGCTCTGTCTGGCTTAGCTGTTGAAAGACTCAAATTCCATTGCTACAAAAAAACCCACACCAAACAAACCCACCTTTTTGAGCAGGCAGTTCCTCTTTTGTCCTGTCAGTGTTCGTGCATGCTCCTGCATTGGCAGCTGCTCAGATCCTCTGGGACAGATGAGTGAGTCAAGAGCAATTAGTGGCTGGCAGCATTTACACTCTCTCCTCTATCCTGGAAGATCTGAACAGATGCTAGGAATGAAGCGTATCAGTTCCCAAATACCAGTCTTTACAGCACAACTTGCTTGTAAACTAGGGAACCCTTGAAGTATTTCACAAACTTTTTTTTTGGAGCTGCAACCAAAAATACAGCTTTATCTTGGCAAGTACTGGCAACATGACGTCATGGGCCTTTGCCTTTGATGTCCTAACATTTTCCAGGTTAAAGCAACCTTGCCTGTATGACTTCTGTTTTTCTAGCTTGTCTTGGGCTGAATCAACATCAGTTTCTTTCTTCAACCATTACCAATAATAAAGATTCTGCTCCCAGTAAGGCCTTCACAGATCAACAGCCCTTCAGACACATAGATGATTCAAGGGGTTTCCAAACCTTCTAAGCAGTTAGGTAGGTCTTACTGATGGTCCATAGGGACAGCAGAATCCAGTGACTCTTCTAGATTTATTAACTCTTAAGTGCCCTCTTAAGAACTAGGAATAGTTGTCTCCCAAAATTAAATGTTCTTGCACCCCAGGCTACCAGATTTTTTTCTGAACACCTGCTGAGCCCAGCATCACCAGTCACAGTTTCACAGCAGAACAGAACTGCACTTCAAGACTCAAGTATAGTGGTGCTGCTCAACCTCAGCAGCTCCACACTGAAGAACTGAGATCTGCCTGTTTCTTCTTTGTCTAGAAAATAACCTTCTGCTGATCTATTTACTAAACACTTTTCATTTTTAATATCTTTTAGGAGCCCCCCAGAGATGCATTTGTTACCGTGAACATAACGAACGCTGCTGTCCCCCAGACATCTGAAGGCATGTGTCTCCTGGGCCCCACTGGCTCTCCTGCCCCTGGAAACTCGTGCTGCACCAGCAGTCATGCTCCTTGCAGGAATGGGAGCCCCAGCACAGCGCCGTGCGAGGCAGGAGGGAGCCTCCAAGCATTTCCTGTAGTAACTGAGACTGATGATGACCATTTCCCACCAGTTCCGATGGAAGATGAATACATGGATAAGGATCTCAATACCGCTGATTATTTATCTTTATTGAGTCGAACTGCTAGTAAAACCATGTCATCATTTTCAGAACCGATGGAGGCGGGGGAGAATGACAGTTTAAATCAGTACTTTTCAGGGATTGGGAGCACAGAGGACATATCAGTCTCTCAAGGCTTTCACCCTTCCTCCGGCACAGATGGGGCACACACTGCCACGGACAGACTTCTTCAGAAATCTTGCCAACATGCCCACAGTTGCCTGAAGGAAATGGGCAACAAAGACACAGATCGTTTTGCAGCAAACTATGACTCAGAGAAGATTTGTGTGAGGTGTGGCATTTCGTACAGGGAATCTCCCAGAAAGTGGAGCAAACCCTGTTGTGCTATGGCTGACAGTGCCTCCACCTCCCCAGAAACTGGATCATATGCACAGTGCACCTGTGGCTTGAATTTTCTCTCTGCTGGTCAGAGCACTCTAGCAAGTGAACATGGTATGGAAGATGCATCTTCGGATAGTACCAACATGAAGTACCAGAACACAAACAGAAGCACTTCAGGGACAAACAGCAGCACTTCAGACCTCCCTCCAGTATCCGGTAAGCCTGTTAGGCTTGATCTGTACACAGTCGTATAGGATTATTCTCTGTGCTAGCTCAATATTATTCAGAGAGTCTGATTTAGGAGAAGGAGAGAAGAATAAAATTATGCCTTTCCATTTAATTGCCCTGAAGCTAATCTGAAAGGCAAAAATGAAATAGCAAGGCCATTTGGTGTGTAGTGAATTCTACAAATAGGATGAGCACTGTGAGGGACCGTTGTCCTCCCCTATCTAACCAGCAATGCAGAACCCATCTTCTGGCTGTCACTGCAAAGGCCAGGCAATTCTGCTATCACCAAAATACTTCAGTAACAGGTTATGTATATTGGAGAAAACTTAGGAGGAGGAGAGTATAGGGACCTAGAGGCTGAGTCAAAAAAGGATGCATAATGCTCAGACAGTTGATTTTGCATTCAACGGTCTGCATGCACATTTTTGCCATTAGGTTTAAGTCCAATTACATTTATATGGCATCCAGTGAAACTCCAGCTGGGGCTGTAACATGGTGCCCACGAATGGGTCTAAGAAATTATGTTCGGTTTTTTGCTTTTAGCTCTTTCTCTTTTTTTTTTAATTTGCTAGGATAGAAGCATTCACCTAAAAATAATTTCATACAGATATTGTTTCTCCATACACAAGTGCGCAGTCCCCTAAACAACTCTGAAACACTGTCACAAATTTACTAATTGACTACCAATTTACTAATTGAGTAAATATATCAAAATTGTCAAATGAAAGCAGGGAAAAAGAAATCACTGAAGCAAAACTAGCAGAAGGGAAGTTATGAGCCTTTTCTGGATGAAACCTTCCTCCCTCAGACTTTTTTTCTGTATAAAGTCTGCAATCTGCCTGTTGTGTTATTAGTCATTTTAGATGACAATCTCTTAAAGTCAGATGCTCTAATTTTATTTATGTCAACGTACAGCCAAGCATAATGAGACCTTAGTTTTGACTGGGACATCTAAGTATTACTGTAATACACAGAGCAGTCATAAGCAGTTGCCCTTCTTTAAAACCATGTCATGCCATAAAGTTTCGTACGCAGACATTCTTGTCAGTCTGCCAAAGCCCAAAAGCAACACTTTTGAAGGCCCTTCCCCTCTCAACATGCGTGCTGTGTGGGAATCTGAAAGTGTGTAGCGTTCATCTTTCTAAGAGCAGATACTCTTTCCGCTGCTTCAGTTTCCTGAAATCCTGATGCAGTTTAACTGCCTGGTCTGTACAAAATTTAGCAGTAGCAAAAAGAACACAGATTATCTTTTTTCGTTGTTGTTGGAAGTTGACTCTGAGGTACAACTGGAAGTCAAGTAGTATTTGGCATTGCAAAAGTACTGCTTTTCTTCCTAAGTCCGACATGAAGAGGAGGAGAAAACACTAAGGAACAATAGGGAAAACAAGAGAACTTGGATTTAAGTGACATCCTTGAAAGTGCCATCTTAGATCTGCAGCACAATTCCTTATCTGAGATTTTAATTGTGTCTGTGCCTTTGGGTATGTACATGCTATAGTGCCATCTGGTGACCTGAGCACAGGTACAGCGTTCTTAATTTGCCATTTTTTAGGCAGGACTGCTAGCAGGTACTGACTGAGCTGTGGGCGGTATGAGAGTGTGGGTTAGCTAATCTGTAGGTAATCTGGCTTGGTGGCAGAGGTTTTCCTCCGTCCACAGAATGGCCATGCCCTGCTGGCGACGTCTGGTTGCATGAGGAATGAGACAGAGCTTAGCTGTAGCTTCCACACTGAAGGAAGCTGGGACTGCACGTGGAGCTGCAATGGTATCAGTCATTTTGCTGAGCCTTGTGAAACGCCCAGATGGAATAAATGTGCATGCAAAATAACTTTCTGTAAAGCTTCTCAAAGCAACTGAAGCCACCAAGATTTGCACACAGTCATGCTAAGACAGAAATGTACAAAAGAGGGTGAATAAAAAATGGGAAGAAAAAGGCCATGGGTAACTCAATCAAGTTTTGGTTTTGGTTCCCTAACATTCAAAATGACAACAGAAATTGCAAACTTTATCCCTCCTATGAAAAAACCCTAGAGGAGACCACAAAAAACCTCTGGACAGGTGCCACTTTGCAGGGGTCACCAGCAGAGATGGAGGTAAGCCTTCAAGTGCTCTTTGAAGCCTTCCAAGCCTGGAGGCAGTCAGAACATGACCAACTCAAGTCATGTCTAGAGGTACAGCATAAAGCATGAGTGCAGGAAGACTTAAGTGACTCGCTTTTAGGAATGGTTTTGCAGAGCCTTTCATTTCCAGATCCCAAACCAGCCCGGTTCGACAACGACAAACTATTCTTACAACCTAGAGGCCATTAGATGGCTCAGCGAAAATGAATCGCCTGTGTTATTCCAGTTCTTAGTGAATAATTACCACAAAAATTAATCTGTCATTGTAATTAATATCATCAGGTATTCTGAGAGATCAAAAAGCTGAAATGTTGTAGAGAATGATGCCTTCACTTATCCTCTGAAGGTGTCCCTTATATTTTCCAGGTTGAAAGCACATATCTTTGTGTAGTCCAGGAAACTCTTGTGTCCATTTCCTGTGCTTTTGGGCCTCAAATATCCTTTTCTTTCAGCATGGTGTCTTTGGAAAGCAGTGAAGGTTTGCCAGCTACATTCAACTAAACAGTACAAATGTGTTAATCTACTTTTTTTTTTTTTCCTCCCCACTGTCACATATATTTCTAAATTCTTGATCTCATACTGAGCAGTGGTAAACTTTTCTGCAGTACCTTTTGTGAGTGACAGGCAATCTGTACAAAGGCAAACAGTTATTTTTGTACTCCCATTATGCCTAACAGTTGTATTGATGGCAAACAGCCAAACCAAATCGAATACAGGGGAAGAAACCGGCAGGGAAAAAACTCCTGCAGAGAAAACTCTTATTGACACCTGATGTTAATCAACAACACTTGGAATAAAAGCAAGAGCTAGCAATGCAGTGGTTTAGCTAAAATAAATAGGATTGCTTGAGGGGGGCTATTAAAGAGACGCTTGAGTGCTACCCAGACTTGGTTATGAGCAGGCACAGGTCCTAACTCAGCACTGCTGGAGCCCAGTGTCCATTGCTGATGTGCAAACATCACCCGCGGCCACTAGAAAGATGGTGTTTCTGTGGCCTGGGCCATGCTTAGCTGCAACAAAAATGGGCATGTCTCAAGTGTGGAGGAACGTAATGAGGAAAGGCACAAAAGGTCTAAAGGGTGTCAGATCAGTCCGCAAGTAATGATTAAGTGAAACACAGCAGGAAAGACATTTCTTAGGAAGAGTGTTCATAGGCTAGCAAGACTTTTTTTTTTTTTTTTTTTTTACTTGATTGGTTTGGTTTGTTTCGTTTTCAAACTAACAAGTTTGTTATTTTGTTGTTGAAAGTTTGCTCTCAGTTATTTTCTTTCTGCTCTGAGGGAAGTTTACTATACCCCAGAGCCTGGTCCTGCTGTCACTTGAGTCAGCGACCCAGTCTGTGGGTGGCAGAAAGATTGAATTTATACTGAAAAATCTCTAACTGCAGACAAACTAACTCCGTTAGGTTGCTATAATATAGATTCTGTCTCTTCACTGGAGTCAGCGTATATCCAGGTAAATCCATGAGGACACTAGGCGAGTACCAGAGCGTACTTACACGGAGGATCAGGGCAATATAAGATAATCGTGTGAGCTCCGTGTCGTTTGGCCACTGTGTGACTGAATGGTCTGACGTTAAGTCTTTCAGTATTTATTCAATACGCCTGTTACCTAGCCCACACAGTGGGACTGATTGTTTACCAAGGAGAAAAAAAACAACTCAATGTGATGCTTGGGACTCTAAAAAAAAAAAAAAATTTATAATTAGAAATAATGATCATTTCCTTACAAATGGCAAGTGGAGGCAGTTTGGATGCAGCTTGTGCATCAGGTGGCATGGAGAGCATGAGATTGTTGTGCTCTCTCTTGCTTCCCGGAGCATGACCAAGAGAGAAAAGGTTTCCAAGCCTTCCAGACAGCATCCCTGTGGATGACAGGCTTCATCCTGAGGAGGCAGAAATGGAAATAATGAAAAGGTCCAGTGGAAGGCATTGATTATAAAAGCATCCCTGTGTCACGGGGAAAAAATAATGGAAAAAGAGTAAAGCCACCACAGCAGATTAAGTTCACTGCGCTAAGCGTCCTTCTCGTGAGGGGAAAGTATTAATCACATGTGTCATCTTTTCTCCCCTCTCCTTCCCCAGGAAATGTGACTGGAAACAGTAACTCCACCTTTATCTCAAGTGGACAAGTAATGAACTTCAAGGGCGACATCATTGTTGTCTACCTTAGCCAAAACTCCCAGGAGGGAGTAATGGCCTCGGGGCCGAGCGAGGAGAACGTGGGCAGCCCTGTGCAGGAGGAAAACCTCAGCCGCTGTGAGACTTTTGCCGGCAACACGCAGCACTACAAGGAGAAGTGTGCCGAGCTGCAGGGCGCCTGCCCGGCGGCGGGGAACAGTGGGCTGCGGCAGACCACCGGACCCCTGGCCCAGGAGCGGGGCCCGTCCCACTGCGGCCAGGCTTCGCAGCCCGTGCAGGAGGAGGGGAAGCTGGGACACTTCTCAGAGAAAGTGTTGAACTGAGGCGAGCCAATGTCCTTGCTGCGGGCCGGGGTGCCGACGGGCAGCCCGCGAGAGGGTGTGGGGCTGCCGTGGGGCTGCCGGAATCCCGGGTGTCGTGACAGATTCAGAGACCGTTGCCTCCCGGGAAATTTTACAGCTGGAAAGGACCCTTGTGGTGCACGTGCCGGTGGTGGTGGTGCTCTCGCTGAGGAGGTTACCAGTGAGGACAGGGGCACGTGTGAAGCCAGGTGTGCTGTCCCCATTGCAGGAGCAGTGGCAGGGCTCTCTCCTCTTCCTCGTGGGGCGGCGGGCTCCCCGCTTGCCCCTTGCTCCCTCGCACCTCTCTCTGGCAAGGGGCAACGGAGAGTTGAGGAGATCCACCCATCGGGCCAGGGACTTTGCGAGGAAGAGAGCAGCGCTGCTGGCCGGGAGCGCGGGGCGTTCCCATAGAGGGAACAACATGGCAGAGGACTGCACTGAAAGGGGCCCCTGAGCTTCGCCTCAGGGTTTTCTTTTTGCAATTAAGCTGCACCCATTTTGCTGGGTCTTGGGCCTCCTCAATGCCTCTGGTGGTGGAAGGAAGGGGCGGCCACCTCTGCCGCTGAGCCTAGTGCTGCTGCAGACCTTCGCCTCCCCATGGGGATCGGGCGGGTGGCGTCAGCCCTTCCCATCTTTCCTCAAGGGAGCCGACGCTCCAGTCTCAAACCAGCACCAGAGCCAAGATCCTGGTCTGTCCCTTATTAACTTGTGGGTATGACTAGGTGTAATGCTGCCCCAAGTGCACGACAATAGGCAAAACAGACCTGATATGCCTTGCAGATTAAGCATATCAGATTAATCCAGAGCAAAGAGCGTTTATAGGTTTGGACCTTGATTCACCTCTACCTTATTGCACCTCACCAGAGGAATTCAAACCCCTGATGATGAGAGTGACGTGTGCCCGGCATGCTGCTGCATGAATAACGTCACTAAAGTTTAAGACAGAGAGCTGCTAGCAGGTGGAGGAAGGGTCTACGATAACCAGCTGTGGACATTTTCTGAGTGACAGGAGAGGGAGGGATTACCCAAAGATAGAGAATTTGGTCAGGGTCAAACACATGTTTCTTCATCTGCCCAAACAACTTTGTCTTTCCCTCTGATATTTTCATTAGTAACTAAAGCTTGATTCAGGTAGCATGAAGCTATTTCCAGAGCTCAGCCTGTCTGAGCTGAAATCAGAGTGTAGCCACTGTCACACTGAGAGCTGATAAGCAATGGGATCAAAGGGTTGGATTTAAAGAATAATAGTAGTTGTAGTTAGAAGAGAGACTCAGCTACTCAGTTGGCTTTGGTTCAGGTCCTGTATCCTGCAGCCTCCTCCAGCAGCCACTGTGGAGAGAAAGGTGAAGGGAATAGAGTTCCAAGGAGCTCCCAAGAGGAAAAGAGAACACTTTTAATGATTTCCTGACAAGGGGTAATTTTCTGACATTGTCCTGCACATGTGAGCACTGCAGGAGGTTATCTTCAGCCTGAGCCTTCATGAGGGTCAGTGCTGTGTTTCTGGCCAGACAGCAAAGGGATCTCTCATCTAGTGTGATCTCACCTGCCCTGATGGAAGAGGTCTCTGGTGGGGAGGGCTCCTCCCCAGGGAGGTTTTAAAGCTGAGGACTTCACTGCGTAGCTGCTCTGTTTTCCACAGTACTGCTCTGCTGATGAAGAGTGCCTATAAAGCTGACAAGGTGACCACTGTGTCACGATGAGCTTCTCATCCATAAAACAAAAGGATGGGTTTAGCCACCTTCACCTCTCAGGAGAATAATTTTGCATTATTAATATATCTGGGATGTAAAGTTCAGCACAGACATGCAAGACTCTCTCTTGGGTGGCTGGCAAAAGGGGCGCACGAACAACCAGTCTCCCTTTCACCTCTTCATGGCCTTCGGAAAACTAGACCACCCTAGCCTACACTTGGCCAGGCAGGTTGTCCCATTCAGTGATGGCCCAAGCTACCTCTGCCTCTTTGAAGGTGTGTAGCTGAGGCTCTCTTATCTGTGGTATTCTTTTATCTTTCCTGCTGGTTCCTTTACAACCTCTTTCCAGCCTCTTCTGGCCTAATTCTGTATCCCCTTGGCATTGGTGCAATAAGGGCAAGGAAGCAGAGCCACCATCACCTTCATGAAAGGTGGTGCAGATATTTTCCCACTTCATCTTAATTTTTTCAGTTGTGTTTTCCTGGAAAGCATTCATCCAGGACATCAGCCTACCAGAAAATATTTAGCTGGCCCCACTTACAAGGCAGGAGGGACCGAATTCTTGTGCTCAACTCTGGGTAAACTACCTGTCTGCAGGTCTACCTCCTCCTCTTTCTCCTTGTGCAGCTTCTTTCTTCCTGTGGTTTGTATCTGTCATCAGAGACCAGGCTCAAAATCCTGATTTCAGAGGAGACAATGGGAAGTTTACTACGTGTCCTCAGTGAGGACACGTTTTTTTCACCCGCTGAATCAGGATCCTACTGAGCAAGGATTGAAACTAGGATCATCAGCAAACATGAAGAAATAGGTCATAATGACCTTGGCTCTGTGGCTGCTCCCTGATGGGAAATGTGATCTGCCAACAGATCTGATTTTTTTTCTTCCTCCAGAGTCTACCCAAAAGTGAAGAAACCATATCACACTCATCAGCATGCTGCATGTTCCCTGGGTCTCTGCCTGGCTGCTTAGACATGGACCCCAAAGGGACTTCTTTATCTTCATTATTTCATTTGTCGTCAGTTTGGAGCTGGGGCTGTTTTTTAACATCTGTTTGTACAATAGGGTCCTATGCATTGGGCACTAATTTGGAGGCTTCTGGCTGCTATTGTAAAACACATAACTAATGATAATAAAAATCTTAACGATCTACTCGAGAAAAAGTGAAGATTTTATTTGAATGAATGGAGAAAATCAAATACATTATTATATGCCTATGCTTATTTTGACAAAAAAAAAATCAAATGTGAATATAAAAACATTCCTGGTTAGGCTTTTGTAACACTTTTTGTATGTAGAATTGTTTGTAGAAACAAAATTGCTTCCCTTCCCCAGTATGTGCCACAATAATGCACAAGTGCATCTACGTACATGCATGGAATCAACAGGAGCTCTCGTAGATTTGGTGTGGTAATGTTTTACTGCTGAGAACTGGGCACTCATTCCAACTCATTCCTGAAGTCTCCTCCTGCACTGCACACGTTTTACAAGTCTTTCAGTCTGAGAAATCACAACATGCATTATCCACAGCGAATATACTAGGTGCTCTTGAAACTCAGCCACTTCAGGCCTGGAAGGGTAGCGGTAATTCCGTGTATAACCATGAGAAAATGAGGAGCAATCTTTTGCTCAAGGGCACCAGAGCAGCCCTTATCCTCGTGGAAAACAATACGGCATTAAAGATCAACATAGATAATAACTGCTCTTAATCTGTTTACTTTGCTACGTGTTCAGACAGATACTGGAAATCACTCTGCAAGGCTTACAGCATAGCTAGAAGTAGCATCACTAAAATGTCATAAATTCTACTTGTCCATTCAGGTTCCCTTCCTTTTATCATATTGATGGTATCTGAGCAACTACATCTGTGTCTATTATAAAACAGAACCCTGCTGAAGGTTGTCTTTGTGCTAATCAAGTATTTAATATAGCTATAGTTTTATCAGATACTTCCACTCAAATTTGTCATCAGTGCCCCCCTCACCACCGCCTTTAAAAACCATCTACAACAACTGGAGAATTCACTTCTGCTAGCACATGGTACTGGCCATGGTAAAATGGCTGCAAACTCTTCGTGTGCAAAGTTATTTCTGGAGTATGTAAATACATATTATTAACAGACATTTAATACTAGTCGCTGGAAAATCAAAGTGTACTTGACCAAGTTGCCTGAGGTTTCTTGTGAGGAATGCTGAACCACTCCAAACTTCATAAGTTTTCCAAACCTCCTTCCGAACGGCTGTTGCCCTTCCTGGTTCGTCAGGGGCACTCTGAGGCTGACCCGAAAGGCACTCTCGCTTGGAGGTGCGGGCACCGGAGAGCTCTGCCCGGCAGCGTTCGGCCTGTGAGGATTCCCACCCCCTGCCCCCGCGATGCTAAATGCCAGCGATTCACATTCACCTGTCTGAGGTACAGTGGTACCTCTGGAAAAAATCAAGCTGGTGGTCGCAGTCGCTGCTGAAGCAAGGGGCATGCGATGTCAGGTGCTGATGGGAACGAGTCAGCTGAAAGGTTGTCATTAAATGTGTTTCTCCTCTCTTTCTCTTGACTGGTGCTGTCCTGTGAAGAGTGAATTGTTGCTATACAATAAATGATTTCTCCCAGAGCTCTGCCATACGAGTTTACTCTGCCTTTGTGCTAGCAAAATGTTGTAAGGGGCAAATCAAAAAGCAGCATTCCTCCCCCCAAATCTGGAGGAGGATCTGCTTGTTGCTTACATGGTGGTGCTGATCACACATGGTGTCCTCACCTGAGGAGATGGTACAGGTGAAATTCCCCTCTCTCCTTCCTTTTTTCCTGTTCTTGTAGGGTCTTTTATACCTTCTGATGTCCTTCCCACTTTCACCGTATATGGGATGACTTACTTGAGCTGAATATATGTTATTTTCAGTCTTTGTTACGTCTTCAAACCCATTCTACCCAGTAATCAATGCTGCACTCCTCAATGGGCAATGCGTAGTTTTTGCATGTACATCCAAAGGCCTCCCCTGCCATCCAGTGTTTGTATCCTAGGGGGTTCCCATGAGGATCCCCGCCTTGACAGACCCTAGCAGATACTTGCGTTTCTCATTGCTCTCATTTCAGTAATTCTGGTTGCCCGGTTTTTCCTTCTGCAAGGCATCAAAGCTGCTTGTGGCCACCAAGTGATAGCATCTTCTCCTTGCTGCAGCAAGGCTTGCTAGCCCTCCAGTCTTGCCTTCAAGGCTCTCCAGCGCTCTTGTTGCATTGTCAAACATTTGTTGTGGGTTTTATTTGTAAAATGTGAGCATACATGAGCACAAGCATGGGGAAAAA